GGCATCTGTAGGGACCTTCTCAGGTCCATGGTTGGCATAATGTTCCTTTATTTCTTCTCCAACCTTCTGCCAGGTTTTGAGACTCACCGTGCCTTGGTCAGGAAACCAAGGACAACATTCCTGGACAAAATGTAAGAATTCTGCTAATTGTCCATTGGTGACTTTTATACCCCTACCTCCAAGCATATGCATTAAAACTTCAATAAAGAGTCCTCTTTCTTTAGACTCAGTATGGCCCAGGCTTTAAAGTTCTGTTCTATCTGCCCTTTCTCACCCTGTCTTCCTTCACAGAGGGGTCTCGAGCACCATGAGCAGAATCCTGTCTGTCCCTGCAAATACTGTAGTATAAAGAGCTTACCTTCGAGACCCATGTTGGGCGCCACTTGCCAGAGTCCAGTTCCAGCTAAGGTGCGGGTCACAAAGGAAAGGACAGTGTCAGCGAGTGAGGAAATGAATGAGGAGATGTTTCAACCTTGATCGGGTGTTTCATCTCATTCACTGCCTCACTCGCCGATGCTGTCCTTTGCTTCATGACCCACACTTTGGCTGGAGCTGGACTCCGGCACAAAAGTAAACTCAAAATGGATCAAAGAACTGAATGTAAGTCATAAAACCATAAAAGTCTTGGAAAAAACAGAGGCAAAAATCTCTTGGACATAAACATGAGCAACTTCTTCATGAACATATCTCCCCAGGCAAAGGAAACAAAAGCAAAAATGAACAAGTGGGACTATATCAAACTAAAAAGTTTCTGTACTGCAAATGACACCATCAGTAGAACAAAAAGACATCCTACAGTATGGGAGAATATATTCATAAATGACATATCCGATAAGGGGTTGACATCCAAAATATATAAAGAGCTCATGCACCTAAACAAACAAAAAGCAAATAATCTAATTAAAAAGTGGGTAGAGGATCTGAACAGACACTTCTCCAAAGAAGAAATTCAGATGGCCAACAGGCACATGAAAAGATGCTCCACATCACTAATCATCAGATATATGCAAATTAAAACCACAATGAGATATCACCTCACACCAGTAAGGATTGCCACCATCCAAAAGACAAACAACAACAAATGTTGGCGAGGATGTGAAGAAACGGGAACCCTCCTACACTGCTGGTGGGAATGTAAATTAGTTCAACCATTGTGGAAAGCAGTATGGAGGTTCCTCAAAAAACTCAAAATAGAAATACCATTTGACCCAGGAATTCCACTCCTAGGAATTTATCCTAAGAATGCAGCAGCCCAGTTTAAAAAAGACGTATGCATCCCTATGTTTAACGCAGCACTATTTACAATAGCCAAGAAATGGAAGCAACATAAGCATCCATCAGTAGATGAATGGATAAAGAAGATGTGGTACATATACACAATGGAATATTATTCAGCCATAAGAAGAAAGCAAATCCTACCATTTGCAGCAACATGGATGGAGCTAGAGGGCATTATGCTCAGTGAAATAAGCTAGGCAGAAAAAGACAAGTACCAAATGCCTTCACTCATCTGTGGAGTATAACGACAAAGCAAAAACTGAAGGAACAAAACAGCAGCAGAAGCACAGAACCCAAGAATGGACTAACAGTTACCAAAGGGAAAGGGACTGGGGAGGATGGGTGGGAAGGGAGGGAGAAGGGGAATAAGGGGCATTACGATTAGCACACATAATGTAGGGAGGGACACAGGGAAGGCAGTCTAGCACAGGGAAGACAAGTAGTGACTCTATAGCATCTTATTACACTGATGGACAGTGACTGTAATGGAGTATGTGGTGGGGCCTTGATAATGGGGGGAATCTAGTAACCACAATGTTTCTCATGTAATTGTATATTAATAATAGATAATAGGAAAAAAAGAGCAAAATAAATAAATAAATATAAATAAATACACAAAACAACAACAGAAAAGCAAAACAAAACAAAAGAGTACAAAGACTTAAAAATACTGGTAATTGAAATTCCATTATAAGGGAGAGATGGTGAGAGAGGAGGTTATAATACAACTTTAGTATCCCTTACAGTAAACCAATAGACAATACCTAGAGAGAGAATGAAGAATATTAGCATATAGCAGTTTTTGCAACTTCAGCATTATTGACAGTTTGTCTGGTAAGTCTTTGTTGTAGGGTAGGGGGGCTCTCCTGTGCTTGGGAGGATGTTTAGCAGCATCCCTGGCCTGCCAATCAGACACCAGTAGCACCTACACTAGTGACAGTCAAAACTATTACCGAACATTGTCAAATGTATCCTGGGAGGCGAAATTATCCCTCGCTGAGAACCACTGGTATAAAGATGTCAGTAGAAATGTAATCAATATAACCAAAACCCAAATCTTTCTAAATAACAAGAAAGATACCTCCTTTATAAAAGACCAAAGAAAACAAATTGCATAGCAAAAGATTTTGCATTCAGATATATAGAATATAAATCATTAAATAACAAAAGATACTATTGTAGAAGAAAAAACAAATCTTCTGTTATATCAATAAGTGTAAATCATATAAATCAGTTTAATTCACTCACTAAAATATGAAGAATTTTACAGCAGCTAAAAAAGCAAAATCTAAATCTATGCTGTATGCAGGTAATACACCTAAATCAAAATGACTTTAAAAGTAAAGCATAAAAGAATGAAAGGGTATGGGCAAAGATATATCAGACAAACACAAATGAAAAGAAAGCAGAGTTCTCTATCTTGATCACATGCAAAGCAAAATTCAATCCAAGTAACATAATATGAGACAAAACAATGTGTTCTCGTGTTAATAGTCACAAACCATAATGAAGATTAAGCATTTATTAATATCTATTTACCAAATGACACAGCAGCAACCTTCATACAGAAGAAACTGCATAGATTAAAAGGAGAGATAGAAACCACTAATAAGAGGCAACTAGCACTCTTGGTAACCCTGGATAGTTCAAGTGAACAAAATCATTAGGATACAGATATCTAAACAATATCTAAACAGTGCAATCAGTAAGGTAGATACCATACACTCAACTCTTGTATCCTGATAGAGAATACATCCTAATATAATAAGACAAAAAGAAGCACTTGGGAATTTTTTTTAATTAAGTAATACATTTGCCATTAAATAACAATGCAATAAAATTGGAAAATAATAGCAATACATTCTGTGAGACAGAGCTAAAGTAGTGCTCAGAGGAGAATGCATTGCATTTTATGCCCACAGCAATAAAGATCAAAATGAATTAAACATCCAACTTCTTCATGAAGATACAGTAAAACTGATACTTTCATTTAAATATTTTTCCTAGTCAATATATATAAAATCAACACAATTTTGTTTTCCCTCAAGACTTGAGCAACTTCTAAAAGTTGTAACAATAAAGACAAAAATTATATTCTAATTTCACTGCATGGAACATTTAAATATATCTCACCTTTCTTGCCAAACAAAAAATTAACCCTAAATCTACTCTAATCATGCTTCTATCAATTTCCAACAAGAAACAGAATAGCTCAGTATGTTAAACTCAAAGATAAAGTCAGTAAAATTCAGACTATGAGAAACTTTACAGGACAATCTACTTTCTTTGACAAAAGAAGGGAGAGAAAAGGTGGTGTAAAAACCAAAACAGTAAAAGCAACTTAACTATCAACCATCATAAGTATGAATCTAAATCGGATCCAGATTCAGTTAAATAAAACTACAAAATAATAATAAGGGATATTTGATAATATCAAGAAACTATTACATTGTTAGATGAAATAATGGTATTGTTTACGGTAAAAAGAAAAAGATATATGTACAATTTTTATGGTAGAAAGAATAAAATGTCTGGAATTTGCTTCAAATTAACTTGGGGAGGAGGAAGGGAAGAATGGGTAGGCGTGTGGATGGAGATTTGTCTATGGGTTCACACTTACGGAAGATGAGCAATGGGAACATGGGTATTCACTATATGATTCTGCTTACTTCTGTATTCATTCAAAATTCTTCACACAAAAAAAAGCATATGTAGATCAAGTAGAGTTTTCACACTGAATAAAGAACAAATTCCACACATATGTGTACTAGTTTTCAAATGTTTGATATGTTTTTATGATAGATAAAATTCAAATTCACTTTAAAAAAAAATACTGCTGGGCAGGGCAGGGAGGCAGTTTGGAGGAAGGAGATTGGAGGAAGGCGGTCAAAGTACAAAATTCCAGTTATAAGATAAATTAGTACTAGGGATTTAATGTACGACATGATGGCTATAGTTAACACATTTATCATATATAGCAAAGCTGTTACGAGAGCAGATCCTAAGAGCTCTCTTTGCAGGACAAATTTCCTTTTTTCTTTTCTTTTTATTATATCTACATGAGATAACAGATATCAGCTAGACCTACTATGGTAAATCATCTCACATATACGTAAATCAAGTTATGTTATATACCTTATACTTAAACAGTGATGTATGTCAATTATTTCTCAATAAAACTAGAAAATAAAATAAAATAAGTAAGACAAAAAAAAACACTGCTGGAACATAGTGAGGTCAAGGCCCAGAGGACTGAAAAGCAGAACTGGACTAAGGAGCAGGGTCAAACCACACTTGTAAGGAGACACAACAGAAGTCATGGGCAGTGATCGTACCACACCATTTACATCAGTGCTCACAGGAGACCTCCTAACCATGGGGAGTCTAAGAACTCAGAACTAATTTTACAGCTGTCTCTTATAATTTCTAAAATTAAATACTACTCTGCCCCTTGGCCCCATGTTTTACTACTCCAAACATTAACACAATTATTTAAAAGTTATCAATACATTTCATTGCCATAGAAGGATCCCAAAATATATATATTTCGAAGAAAAGGAATGAAATATCAGTTATACACACTTTAGTTAAGTAAATTCAAAAAAACTATATCTGAAAATGTAATCAAATTGGAAGGAGAAGGCAAAAACAAAGGCACAGTGAATATCCACAGCCAGCAACCAGCAGCTGTTAGTTTTCAAAATAAAACATGTCTTACTTACCCTATAACATCAACCACCTTCAGGAGCTCAGAGTCAAGCAGCATGGAAGTAGAAATGGGCTCCCAGAGATTATCGCTCGCTATAATTTTCACTTGCTGGAGACCCTGATAGTTCAGCATTCTTCTTAACACCTTTGAGGAGATATACAGAACATGGGAAAGCTTACAAATGAGTTCTCAGCTGTTGAATTACAACCAAGATAGCTAAAGTATCTTCATAAGTCAGCATCCTGGACAATAGTGTCAATATTATTTCTCAATAAAAATGTGCCTCCTGTGGGAAATAAAAGATCATCATTAAGATAAACTTCATGGGAATGTAAAAAGGAAAAAAAGAAAACCCATGAGGTAAAAATGTCTTAGCAGGATTTTCCCTCTGACTTTTAAATGACTTTTAATCATAGAAAATTTCAGTTGAAAGGTAGAATTTTTTTTTAAATCGTAGTAGTACTACCCAGAAATAACCATTATTATTTTGGCACACATTCTGTCAGGAATAGTCTTATACAGACTCAGTAGTAATACTGGGATCAAATTAAGCATATCAACTGGTAAAATGCTTTAACCTAAAATTTTGAGTATTTTCCAATGTCTTTAAATATTCTGGCATTACTGAAAATACTATAGTTCTTAATATTCTGCACCATACTAAAAGTAGAAATAACTATTCCATTGTTACTCTCAAGTCTTTTACACTTATAGACAGGACAAGCAATAAATTCTACCTATAGGACTATCCACCCAGGAAAAATGAAAAGACTGAATTCTAACAAGAAATAAATCAACAAAGCACAGAGGGCCTACTCTGGTATTTAGCACCATTCATAGGCCCCATGAGGACTCTGAAAGAAGCACAAGACAGTGATCTCACCCCTAGGTGGCAAATCAGCAACATACAAAAACTAAGAGGGTAAATTAGAAAACTAGAGAGCAGGTACACAGCATAATGTATGGATTGACAATATGTAAAACAAGAGCAGAGAAAAGGAGACATCATTTTACCCAGGAGCAAACGGATCAGATTTCAAAACAGAAGTAGTTCTGGGTGAATGGCTATGAATAAGCCACTGCTATCCCCAACCATGTGGAAGTAGTAGGTGCTCAATAAATAGCAGCTGAATTAATTAGGATAAGAAAGAACAAAGAATTTCAAAGCTCACTTTTTGCATTCTAACTTTCCTGAACTTGGGAATTTTCTAATTAATGTGCTCTTTTCAGAGGCAAATAATAAACACTTTAATCAATTTCATGTTGTACTTTACAATGGGTGGTTTCTGGGAAATGATGTACTATGGTATTTTAGAAAACAAGGAGAAAATTCACATAGCCATCCAAGTTCATCTTTCAGAAAAGGTCAGCTGAGTCCTAAGACACCCTGGAAGCGATTGGAACAGATTCTTAACAATAAATAGAAACCAACTCTCTAGATTCAGTTGGTCTGATAATCCTTATCCCTCTACTAGGAGACCGATCTTGAGTCTCACCCTAAAATTCTTTTATTCTTACAGAAAGGAGGGAGAGCAACTTAGTCAACTGAGTATTTACCATCATGAATATACCTAGTTTTTCTAGTGCTATTCCTAGACCATCACCTCTAAAATTGTTTGCTTTTTTATACAGCATATTAAAATAACATTCCAAAACATACAAGTCTATGAACTATATTTTAAAAATAAGTTTCCATCCCAAAGTCAATATGAACAGCAGCATTCTTTGAGCAAAGAATGTATTTATCTAATGTATTTTCAAATATTGTTTGGGTTGTGGAAGCCTTCTCCTCTCCCCAACTTAGATGGAAACCTATTCATAAGATAATGAAAGGAAAGCTGTTCTTGTTTAACTCAGTGAAGGTCCAGAAAATCAAACATCCATTTCTACTTATCACCCTCAAATCCTAGATGGGGTTTTTCCAAACACAATTTAAAAACTACAACACTGAAAACCAGAGTAAATCATCAATACAATGCAAATAGCAAAAATAAAAAGAAACAATAGCTCTGTCATCCTTACTTAAATCACTTGTTTGTATTGTACTTACTTCTACTCTTATAAAATAAATCATTATTTCCAGGGACCATCTTACTATACTATATGGATTATATATTCATTAAGCTTATCAAATCTGAACGCTACATTCATTTGCCATTACTGAACTCTTACCAATAGGCATTTTAACAAACTGAACACAGATTCCAATAAAATCTTGCTACAAAAACGACAAATACAAACTTACAGCCTTTATGTCCTAGGATATTTTACTGCAGGTAAACTAAAGATTGAGAGAAGAGTAAATGAAACCTGAACTGTTTAAAACACTGATGACATGAGTCTTAAAACACCATTTAGTCTCTCAAGTTAACCTGAATTGGAATACAATGGAATCAGCAAGAAACTCTTATTATTAAAAGAAAATTAAAACCACCTCAGCTGTAGATCATTGGTTAAAAAAAGAAAAAGGAAACCAGATTCTAACACTTCTAAGGCTGCCTTCCGATGTAATGAACACAACTAGAGAGACACATGTACAATCCCAGAGGAAAACAAACCGTGCAATGTCAAATTCAGGTAGAAAAAGCATTCCTAACTCTTCACTACTGAGACGCTGCCATGACACCGTGCACCTGAGCGCTGGGTTACCAGGACACGCGCACTAACTTGGCTTCCATTCTGTGCTCTTGCTGCTCTCATCAGACCCGTACTTACAGCAGTCACGACTTCCCACTAGCAACCCGTGCACTTTGATCTTACACTAGCCTCTTGGCCCCAGCTCCCAAAAACACCCAGCCACACTTCTCACCACCTCCCTGGTAGTGTCTGCAGCCTGAGGTGACCCTGAGTTACCGGCTCTGGCTACAGTCCATCCTATCAAATCCTACAACTGGTTAGTTCCACTGTGCCACTACTCCAGAGAGCACACTGGCCAAGAAATGGCTCAGTGCTGCCACCCATCTAATCCATTTATCACCACTTGTTCTTCCCCCAAATCCCTTTACTTCTTTATCTTCACTCCTTTGCAGTCGTGCTCCTGCCTTAGCAACTTGGGGAGCTCCTACGCAACGCATCTTGAAGGTTTCAACTCCAGGCCACCTGCTTCAATGGACTTCCCTCACCCACCTAAGCAGAGGTGTCATCTTCTCCCTGCACCTTCTGACAACATGTATGTGCATTACTCTGCTAGAGAAATTATGACTGATATTTTATTTGCCCATATGGGACTCTAGTGCCCCCAAAGGTAAACTCCTTTGGGGAAGAAACAGTATTTTTTATCCTTGTACTCCAAGCATGTGCACAATGCTTGACAAACTAGGTGTGGACTAAATGCTTGTTGACTGAATTACTGAAAAAACAAATGAAAAAAATTTAGTGGTATTAAAAACATGACACTCAATTTAAAGAAAATCTTTTAAAACTGAAACAAAATACAACCACAAAACTGTATTTCTTGGAGAGAACACACATAAAACAGACAAAAGGAACTGAAAAGTAAGTTAGAGAATACCCCCACCTGAAAAGTTAAACTGCCATTTGTTTTCCATTGATACAAGGCGTTATTATGTTTTTCCTTTCCCCCAAAATAGTAATGATAGTAGTTCTCTCATATGAGAGGTAATAAGAATTAAATGGAGATAAATATTGAGGAAAAGTGGCTCAAAAAAGAACATGCTTTTCAAATGGTAGTTGCTAACCTATTTGTTAATCACGAATAGAAAGACACCACACTCCAATATAATAGGCATTCAAACGAAAACAGGAATGAGACTATATGCTAGAAATTTTGCTATGACTATGAAAGAAAAGAGCTACATTTTTTGAAGTCCCAGAAGTCTAAAATTATACAATTGTTTTTATAATGATTACCATAATTCCATAAATAATGAATTTTAAAATAGGAAAATTTAACACAACTCTTCAGACACATGCAATTTGGGACTTACAGGGAATTATGATGATTCAATCAGGAACTTAAACATTATTAAGATTTTGCTTGAATTTTATGTCACAACAAGCAAAACAACTGAACTGTAAAAATTAGTGTTCCTACTACTAATTTCCCTGGAACCATAAAGAACTAACTCACTAATAACTTAAAGGTAAAAAGAGTTTAAAGTTATACAGACCTTGATATAATTGATGTCAAATGCCCTCTCATTCCAAATCTGCAAAACAGAAAATCAAAAAGTCTGTCTTAAAGTTCGTACATGTCAGAAAGCAAACATTATCATCAAGGTCCACTTAGCTCATTGTCTGCATCATCGAAAAAGTAATTTTTCTTATTTTAAGGAATATCCTGTTATTAAACTGATAGATATTTATAAGACAATATAACATTTTTAATTAAAATACTGTTTTTGAAAGGCTTAAAATATTTGGTGGATATTTTTCAAAAAGTCATTTATTCCAGAGACGTCTAAAAATGGAATATCCATTTAATCATTCAATAAATACTGACAATGCAATGTGTGCCAAGGACTATACTAGAAACTGGAGACCTACAAGACATGGGGATTGTTGTAATAATTCTTACAAGACCCTTACAGGCACACCTATAAATATACTGTAAAAGAATAATTTCTTTTTTTAGCACACAAAGAATCACAGTGATATGCTATATCACAGAAGCAAACTCTTAACGAAGACAGATAAAAGGAACATGCACAAATCTCGTAGGTTTAGAATCATGAAGCATGAGGTTTTAGAGCTGAAAGAGAACTTCCATGACTTTTCATTTTGCAGCTGAGAAAACTCAAAAACACGGATGGGCGTAGAGTCTAGGCACTATAATTCTTTTTAGCCCTAATGATAAGGAAATTGTTTCTTATCAAAGAAACTCCTCACCATGGCATAGAATTATCAAGAATCTAAAAGAAATGTGAATCACCCATTACTTACCGAAAACATTTTCTAAGAACAACTTCATCATAATAGGATATTATTAGATACAAACCTACATTTAGTGTCACTATGGGTTAAAAGTATCCTGACATTTAAATAAGTTCTCAAATACAAACTAGTTTTCAGTTCTAATTTGAAGGATAACAAAAACAAGTATTATTCCTGTTTCTGATTCCCACAGCCCTTGGCTCATCCTCATGTTCTATTTCATCCTGTGATACTACAGTTTGTCTGTCACACACTCTCAATGAACTCAAGAGCTTCTTAGTCTTGGTATCTTTAAAAACATAATAGTCACAGTGTGTGTGACACAGTAGGAGTTCAATAATTGCTTGCTAACTGCAAGAAGACTTTAAAAGTCAGTTTTGACAGATGGCATATTAATAAATAAAAATGTATGGATACCCCTGTGTGTGTATGTAAGGCTCTGTGGGGTACAACAGTGGGAGGCATGCTTCCAGCCTACCAACAGACCAGCCAGAAAGATAAGACACCGTGTTTCACATTTTGCAAATCATGAAAAGGTGTTAACTAACAATTTAGGACAAGGGTAGACAGTTTTTAGCCAGCCTGCCAAATCTGGTCCACCATTTCTATTTTTTACAGCCAGAGAGTGAAGAATGTTTTTTACAGTTTTAAGAGTTACATGTCAAATGGTTATATAATTATCTACATAATATCCTTATATTGCCATTTGACCCACCAAACCTAAAATATTTACTCTCTGGCCCTTTAAGAAAGAGTTTGCCTTCCCTTGTTTAGGACAATAGAAGATTCTTAAAGCAAAATGAGATTGATCATTAAACTGCAGAGTAAACATAGTACTGTAAAAACTAGAGAAACTAGGGAAAGATTTGAAGAATTTGAGCTGGGGTGGTACCAAAAACAAATGTTTTTAAAAAATAGTTCAGAGAAGGTATATACTTACACAGTTTTCAAAGTGGGAAGAATTTAGATGGGCAAAGGGGAAGAATAAAAGATCAAATGCAGTTAATTTGTTATCAGACATCAATAGAAATGCTCACGGTATAATGGTTAGTCAATGAGCCACAGAATAAAATTACTTGAAAAAGTTACAAATGAATGTCCAAAAGTTAACCATGTTTTAAAACTATTACTAACCCCAATATAATCAATGTCCAAATCATGATAATGCTTGGCGCCCATAATCCAGGTCATGACATAGTAGGCAGTCAGCTGAACATTGACGTAAGGCCAGTTGAAACCTTTTCCCAGCCATCCAGGGAATGACCACGGCAGCGCTACAGACCGGAAGAGCCAAAGGCGGAGTGAGTACAAAAGTGCTGGCCCAGCTAAAGACAAGGCACAATGAACCAGAGGACACAGGCCAAGCAGAAAGCCAATACGGATCAACTAAAGGGGGGATTATATACATACCATGCACAAACTCTCAAAATCCCTTCCAGCCTATGGACACAATAATTCCTTATTGATCTTAAAAGTCAGGTCCCATAATTCCAAATGCTCTTTCAAGGAAAAGAAATAAAAACAAACCAAAAACAAAAATAAACTCCTCTCTCAAGGATACTAGAAAGAAATGTAGCGTACAACTTAATACCCCCATGGCCTGCTATGGGGACATTTAATATTCAGTTTCTTTTCTCTGAGATCAAAACAAAGAGTTCTGAAAGCTTTTGGCTTAACTATTCCTATGAGATAAGTATAACACAAATTCCTCATTCACTGATTCATCATCTTACAATGTATGGCTACTGAAAGTACTATTAGGTGTCAAATTCTGCTAAACTAGTCTGTCCACATATTGGTATAAATGCCAATGACTCAACAGGGAAACAGACCTTTATTATATGATACAGATCAAATAATCCACATTCTCCAAATACCCTATTATTTTAAGTAAAAAAAAAGGCATAGAGAAGCACTAATTTCAATTCAAAATCTAATTCTGTTACTAATACACTAATAGAAGCTCAACAGTTAAGGAACTTAACTGTTAATATATATTACCAAATCTAGTTCACCACTGAAAAAAAAATCAAAATCGAAATGACAAAATGCTTGTTTTTCTAAACTCAGGAAGAATGCCTAAGTGTATCTGCATAAGAAATGTGACATTGAAATAATGGAAAATGTAAAACAATGAAATGCCAAATACATTCTGAAGGCCCACCATGTGTAAGTCTGTAAGTCCTTGTTAGGACACGGCTCAGCGGCTCAGCGTGCTAGATTTTCTACATTCAAATGAGAACTGACCTTGGAAGCAGTCCAATGGGCAAGTATATGTGCTGAAGTCAGTGGTGCTTTTTACTGCTCAAAACATTTCTGAAATCTCTTACGAAAGTCCATTTAGAAAGAACACACTGACTCATTTTTTTAAAGTTACAAAAACATACTTGCCCTTTAATTTGATTGTCAAAAAAATTTTTAATAACTTGAAATCAAGTCTATATGGATCTTATTAATCTCACTAAACTTACTCATTTCCAATAAAAGTATGCCACCACTATGTATGTTTGAAATATTTCACAGGTCTGCACACTGTTACAGGATAACTGTGAAATGAATACGGTCTCATTTGAGCAGTCATCCAATAATCCTACTACTAGAACTTGAGCTCCACAAGGGGTGGAAATTAGGGGTTGAACTGTCTGGTATCCCCAGTACCTAGAACAGTGACACTGTATCATTGAAGTTCAAAGTAAAGAAAAAGACCATTTTTGTATATGCCTCTTCTAGAAATGGGGTCTATGACTGCATGTATATATAATTTTTCAAATAGCTGGGATATACTACTACAAACAATATACAATTTTATAAACCACATTGCTATTTGACAAATTTTGATGAGAAATTTTCTTGAGAAAAACAATTTAGCATCACACACACACATACACAGCCAGAATGGAATTAGGTTCTGTATCTGACTTTGCCATTAACTAATTATCTGGCCTTAAGTCAGTGACATAATCTCTCTAAACCTCCACTGCTTCTGTAAAATGGGAAGAGTAATTATAAGGTCGGACATAATACAGAAGGGCAAAGAAAGGACCCTGCCTAGCGCAGGCTTTGCTGTTGGGAGCATATGGGTAAATTAACATTACTGGTACTTAAGTATTAAAAGTACAGATTCCAAATTTACAAGTTGAAGGAAAATAGATGGCAAGAGCATGGCAAACTACATTTCTTACCCATGAGTATAATATTAGGGTTCCGCTTCTTAGCTTCCTTCATTAACCACCATTCATATCCACGGAAATAATTCTCATCTAATGTATAGTGCATGTGGGAGGGCTCAGTGCCATCTGAATGGGAGAGCAAAAGACACACTATGTATTCTTGGCGCTCACAATACATACACACACTTCAGAGTAGTATTCCAGTTCCAATCCTGAAGTAGGGCAAATAAGAATAATCTTATATAATTTGAGGACAGATGATCAAAGCATATTCATCTTTTTTCATTACTCTAAGCATTGCAGAGATCTTAATAAAACCACAACTTTCTATTATAAGCACTGCTGAGAAGTATTATCAACTCATGTAACTGAAAATTCCTAGGATTATATTTTTCTGGGCTTCCGGTCTCTGTGGATTTCAAATCTCTGCATCCAATTTAGATCCCCTCCATTTCCAGCTTCTTGGTCCTAGATGTGAATCCTGAGGCACCAAAGCCCCAAATTCTGACACCCCAAGTCTTGAGCTACACAATATGTCTGTTATATCAAGACAACAGAGTTTTGAAGAAAAGGGAATGAGTTCACATCCCCAGTGTGACAAGGGAGGTAACTGACATCAGTCCTTATGTGCTACCACGTTTCACAAGTATCTGTCCTTGTTAAGACGGAAAGGGGAGCTTGCCCTGCTCTTCTTAAAGGTGAACACCAGAATTCACAAGAACTACCTGCTTCTGTATGTCTGCCTCTATCTTAGCTTCCACAAATAAAGATGCCAGTCATTAACAATTCTAAATAAAAGGGTTTGACAATAAAATACATGTCCTCTAGGAAGAGCCTGGGGAAAGTTTTTGTTACGGAGTTTTGTTTTTGATTTGCATTTTTTACTTTCAACATAAATACTAATGGCACCACACAGATATATCTATTTAACAAATATTATTTCCAAGTCACTTTCAAGACAATGGATACACAGACAATACTCTAAAGGTCACTATAATAGAATCTGACATAATAATGAGCTAATAATCATTCAGAACTTTTAACTGACTACATGTACTACGCAAAGCCAGCCAAAATGGTTCACAGTGAAGACTGAAAATTTAGTGGTTAAAAATAATTTTGCTTTTAAGAGAAAAAAGCTCTATTTCTGAAATACTGATTATTTATTCTCCCACATATTTTGTTTAAAGTTAATATCTGAAATGCTTTACACATTAAAAGTTTTCTTTTTTTAACTTCTAACTAAATTTCAAATTGTCCTTATGCTTTGTCTAAGTTATTATAGTTTTTTAAAAACCGTGCATTTGTTTACTATTGATTATTTCAACTAAATAAGCAATATGAAGTCCTGCTGTTTTTTTATGGAAAAAATGGATATTTGAATATATTTTTTAAATGGGTGTAAAAAAGGAATAGTCTCCTAAGCAATAACCAACATCAACATAAAAAATGTTGGTATCACTGAGGTTCTGACATCACAGCCCATAAGTTTAGGTAGAGATTAAAAATATTGGGGGAAAAAAATCCCATTTCCCAAATACTCCTACCTGTTGTCTGCCCATCACCACCTATTTCGACTTTCAGAATATGCAAAGAAGCCCCAAAGTTTGGCTGGAGAAAGAAGAAACATATTAATGCTGTGAAGGACAAAACACTTCTAGATAATTACTAATTGTTGCATTGGTTTTACAGATGAGAAAACCAAGGCAAAACTCAAATAGCAGATTACTCCAAAAGTAATTTGCTGATAAATTCTATCAGCAAAATTCACCACAATTTCTAAAATATCACAGGTACTACTAAATAATTATTCTTTCATTACCTTAAAGAGATAATCCAATACTTGAGAACGATAGGGCTCTGGGTAATTTACTAGAAGTCGGGAGGTTGCCTAGAAGAAAAGTTTTCAGAAGTATGAATAAAACAAATCCAGTCATGAACACTTTTTCATAGTGATTATGCACAACCCCTTGTGTGCCCACAGTTAGCCAGCTCTTGGGCACAACTGAGCTATGCAAAGTCACTTTCCAGATTGTTTGCCCACCTATGTTTTGCCCATCAGTGGACAAATTAGCCTGTTTTTGTCTGATAGTTAAAACACGGGTTCCAAACAACAAGCAAGTTTCTCCTCTACTGGAGTGAGGGTTGTCTGGGAGGTGGGCTTGCTAAGTCTGTTGATGGATCTCATGATTATGATTGATCTTGAGGACCTTGACTCAGAGAGCGGTTATTAACAGAAATGAAACTTACATTCACTATCTTAAGATCATCCGTCAACGACCATATCTGGGACCGAGATGGGAAGATGAATCTCAGGTAATTTTCCCCCTCAACATCTTGCAGGAAAATTATAAGCAGCAATTCTTCTCATCCTTACTACTCTCCTCATCCTTACTAAAGTTTATTGGATTTAAAGGATGACCACACAATGATCCTCAGGCCAAGTTGTACTAAGGAAACCTCAGAAAGGTGGCATCAGAATAAACGGAAACACAGAGATGGAGTCTGCAGGGACCAACACTTGGTCACACCTAACCAACAGCTGATGAATGCTTGAAGAAATCGCAAAACCAGTAACCAACCAATAATGTATCCTTTGGGAAGCAATATAAGAGAAATAAAGGAGATGAATTAACATGAAATAGTGGCATGTCCCCAGGCCTGGAAGCCTGACAAGCACCAGGTTTAAGCTATTGACACCCTGACAAGTGTACAACAAGGGCAAGATACTTGACTTGTATGGAGTTCAACATCCTGCTTTATACTGTCATATACGCTACCACTGACATTCTGGCAGTCCCAATATCCACCTCACAACCTAGAACCTCCCAAACCCCAGCCACTGTGACACAGACCAATGGAACTATTCTCTATTCACTTCAAGCTCAACACAACCCCAACCAAACAACACTGTTCCCTAAATCTGTTCCTTCTCCTGCATTTGCTGTCTTAGTAAAGAACATCTGCCTAAACCATAAACTTAGGGTCACCCTTCCACCAAACTTCCCATCTATCTCCAGACACCAAGACCTCCTTAATCTGTCTCAAATCCATCCCCTCACTTCACCCCCACTGACTTCATCTAGGCCTTCCTCAATTATCAGAACAGCCTAAATGGTCTCAGAGTCTCCTGCCTGTCTCCTGTATTCTACCTTGCACACTACCTGTCAGATTAGTCTTCCCAAAACACAGATCTAACCATGAAGGCACTCTGCTTAAGCCTGCCTAGACCTTCCCTCCCCAAAGAACTTTCAGAATGAAGTTCAAATTGCTGTTTTATTTCCAAATCCCTTAATTATTTGGATCCTAACTCTAACACTTTACTGTTTATCATTATCACACCTTTTACCTAAATGTGTCAAATGGCTTTTTCTCTTTCTTCAGTATGGAATGCATCCCATACCCTCATTTGGCCACTTCCCACTCATCCTTCAGCTTTCAGCTCAAGCTCCATCTCTTCAAGGAAGGAAACCTTCTGCTTAACGTAGGTGCCCTTCCTGTGTCTCCCGTGCACCAGTCCACAAGTTCACCACAACTCTTCTAACACTATCCCCTCATCATCACCGCTTTACTTTCCTGTCTCACCCCAAGTTCCTTAAGGACAGGTACTGTGTCTTATTCAAGTTCATATCCCATTTATTCTCTTACTCAATAAACATTCATTTACTACCTTCTGTATTATCATTTGTTACATTGGTACAGGTGACCCAGTACAAGAGGGTTTGAGCCAGACGGAGCTGGCTTCCAGGTTCCACCATTTACAAGCTATGTGACCAATGGCAAATTATTGTAAAATGGTTATCTTATGCATCCAGCTGTTCTAAAGCTAAAATAAGAGGTAAGTGAAGGACTTAGCACAGTAGTCCATACATACCAAATTACCAAATTACCAATTATTCTCCCTGAATAAGTCCTGGAGTGGCTTACAACCAGCTCAGGAAGAAGACTTAGCACAGTATCTGGCACACGGTAAGTTCCCAATATCCAAGCAAGCACTGTATACCCAAATGGGCAAAAAAAAATTTCATTTAACGTCCTTGGGATAACTTTCTCTTCCTTACCTACGAAACAGGATAATACTACCAAAATAAGACATCTTCCAGATCCATTCTAAGTACTTCATATCCATTAAATACTAAATTTTAATTTAGCCCCTACCAGGCAAGTACCTAAGACAAAGAGGGATTAAATTAAGTAGAAGGTTAAATCAGACTGTTGGCTAATGTACATGTGGTTAGAGAGGAAAGGGTGTGTTTTCTTGGCAAAGACTTCAGGGCAAATCCTGTGGGTTCCTGCCTGTGGTGGGGGCTCAACCTGGACACAGCCCTGAGGTCAGCCACTAGGGGGCCCTCCTGAAGGAAATGTCCATATACTAAGTGGCAGGACCCAGAACAGACCCCTGGCAATCTGCTCTTAAATCCACATTATCAACTACTGCACCATACCGCCTTCCCTATCAGATATGAAGATTAAATGAAGATTTAGACCGAGCTAGACACCAGGGACTCCATAAATAAGTTATTTAAAGGGGTTACACAAATAATGTAGCCATTTTCATTCAGTATTTACTCTGCTTCAAGATGAGTAATGCACTCTACACAGGGACAATATCAGGATAGATATGAGTTATGAAAATTTTCACTTTAATAATTTTAAATGAGTTAATAAAAAAAATAACCAAATACTTCCATTTTTCAGCAGATTTAAACATTGGATTTATTATCACCAATAAGGATAGTAAGATAAATGGGCCCTCATTTTATGAAATACTGGTTATTCCAGGTTTAAACCACAGAAATAAAGAGAACAGCAGTAGTAAAGAACAAATACATTAGTCCATTAGTCCACAGGTTACCTTGAAATGTGTCCCAACACCTATGAGTAAGGTTGCAACATTAGGAAATAAAAGTATAAAAATCAACAAGAATCAGTTGGGTCAAGGAAGTTTGGTAGGGGGGAAGAGCTTCCACAGTCTTATCTGTGATCAGGCGACAGACCAAGTAATACCCTGTCATATAAACTCTGACAGTTGGCTTTTTCCTTTCATAATGCAAGCTTTAATTGTCAAGGCATCCACTTTTCAGCAATAATGATGTTTTATGGTATGTCTACTTAAAAACAGTCCCCCAAATCTTTTTGGTAATTTGAAACCTTAGAGTTTTGCTAAGTTAAATGATGAAAATTCATTGGCTATATAGATTATTGCCAACTAATACAAAATACTGAAACATTAATTACTGAACATAGGTTTATCTAATTTTGGTTTCTTATTACAGAGAAACTAAAGATATTTGGATCTGCTAGTAAACATATCCTGTGCTACACTGAAAAACTGTACTTTATAAAGAAAGAGGCATATGCTTCTAAAAATTATAAAATGTATTCATAAATGTGCCAATATTCAGAATGCTGGTATAACAGTCCACAATTGCTTGCTTCCTAGTTTTCACTAGAAATTAAGGTTTCTAAGAGTTAAGAATTCTAATTAATATATGTAATACTAGAAGTAACAAAAGGAGCATATCTATGCAAGGAAAATAGTCTGTATTTTGGCTAAGAAAAAATATAAGGTATGGAAATGCATTTTTGTTAAGGGAAGTGAAAGTAATGTTGTCCTAAAGTAGACAGACTAAACGGATATAGAAAGTTGGGGAGGAAAGGAAAAGAAAGAAAATTTTACCTTGTATAGTCAAGCTGGCTAAAAATGAAATAAATTAATTATGAAGATTTTTTAAATAAGCTTTAATATAACAAATAGTGTACTTGTATAAAACTAAAACTTAACTTTCTTTTATCTGCTAAGAAGATAAAGTTTTCTTGGACTATTGGTCTGCTCTTGGTAAGATTGTGAAAGGTTTCTTTTTTTAACTTTTTGAGTAATCTGCTAGGAAACAAAGATTCTGTGTTTTTTCAAAATAATTTCCTGTGCTTCTTGTTGTCTTTATCGCATCTCTGATTAGTTAAGAAAACTATGTCTTCTCTATTAATAAAGCTCCAAGGTGTTTTTTTGGTGCAACTACGTAACTTTCTGTATTTGCCTGTGAAGTCTTTAATTTTAATTTTGGCTAAATGGATAAATAAGTATTATCTCACTGTGACCTATGCTTCCATATAATCAAGTGTTTTAAAAACTTTTGATGTTTTTGACAAACTTCCCAAAATCAAATTCTAAATTAAGTCTTTCTGACATTGAACTAACTTCAGGATTTTCCAGAGAATCCCTGGAATGAATAAAGAAATGTGTTCAGAAATTCCTACCTACAAAAAGATGTTAAACAAATTAGGTATATTTGATATGTTAAACTGCATGGGAAGCATTGTCAAATAAGTAATGCTAAACCTTCTTTAGCTTGTATTTGTATGGGTATATGTCATTAATGTAAGTGTTCCAGAAATTCCCAGCCATGCTATGTAAAGCCCACTAAAAGGGACTCAGAGTTAACCAGATAAAACTAGAGAGTCAGAAAAGACTCACTGACTTAACAAGTTAAATCAGTTGAAGCTCCAAAGGCCAAGAATAACTTGGAAATGTTGGGATATTGCCCAGATCAAAAAAACCATCCAAGTGCAGCCCATGTCTTCATTGTATCAATTAGATCATGCCATTGTAAGATATACTTTAGCCTGCTAAAAAGCCCAGCTTACTCTTTAACTTAACTTATGTGCTGTTTTTAGCTCTTTCTCTAGCCCTTAATCAAGTAACTTTGCAACGAGGGCAGGAGACAGACTTTGGAAGTATAAATAAACCTATGTGGACAAAGAATGCTGAACTCCCAAACCAACAGTCACCTAAATAACCCTATTCTTAAGACAAAACTCCAAAGGAATTCTGAATCGCCTTAATACACCATGCCTTATGCTGACCCTTACCCAGAAAAGCCCTCTAAAACCCCACACCATGCACCTCCTTCTCTCTGAGGTTGCCCACAGTTGCCTTGCTTTGAGTGTGTCACTCTCTCTGTCCTACTGCAGATAAGCAGGGAGGGGCTCCTGAGAGCTCTGATCTAGGCTTGCAAGCTCCCATTGCCTGGGTGACCCAGATGGAACTGTAGCTGTACAATCATGCTCCTTGGCAGCCTGCCTGAATGTCTCCTTTCTTCACCTCTGGGAAGTGCTCATACATAACCTCACTCCACCCAGTGCTCTGTGGCTCCCCCAAATCCTGGGGTGGTAGGGATTTAATTCCCACACCGTGCAGATCCAAGTGGACACTGGATGCCAGGCGACACTGGCTTCAGGAGTTGGCGAGGGATTATGCCCTTAGGCCGAGTAGCAGTTCAATGAGCTTCCCTTTCCTCCCTCCATTTTCCCTTCCTCTCTGCTTTATTCAAGTAAACCTGCCTTTTCTTGACTCTGGCCCACTCCTCTCCTGGAGTGAATTCATATAAAACTTTTACTCTGCTTCACTACTGTGTTTCTGCCCTTCAATTCTTTGTTGCAGCAGGGACAAGAACTGAGGAAAATAAGCTCAAATTCCACCCCCCCAACACCTGTAACAGGACACAACTGAAAACATTGGTTATATTACCAAGGCTTTGACAATAATGTCATATTTGAGAGACATGCACAGAACTTAGAGAAGACCAGACAGCATAAAGGAACTAAGGTTTACTTTGTGGAGCCAATAAAGTCCCTTCGAAAAACTGGCCTGATACCTTGTTTACAGGGCTCCTGTCAACCTTACCAGATGAGTAAGAAAGGTCACCTCCTGACAGGTCCAGGAATATCAGGATATTTGGGGGACCTCAAGAAGAAAAGAATTCACCCAAATCTGCAAGTGTTGCAATCTGATGGGAAGTTCTTGGATTGGCTTCCTAGCCTCTAGAGACTTTTAAGAGTCCAATCTGAGATTCCTTGTAAAAAGGTCTAGCAGAGTGCATTTAAGAGAGACTACATGGTCAATCACTATTCTTACGCCCTCATGTAAATAATCAGGCCAAGTTTAATGAAACTTGAGTTAGTCTGAAAATAAATCAGTCTTACAGAAGTGGGGCTGACTATACAGAGAAAAATTATGTTTCAATGTAAAACTACAGTATACCCTTATGGATAACAGATTCCAGTCCTGTTAATTGTCCTTGAGGTTTGTTTTCTACTTGAAAACTGAACTGGATCCTAAATTCTGCTCATTTCCACCAGTATCTGGCTACAACTCTCCAAACATCACTGTTCCATTTTTCCTCCCACCCTTCTAACTTGAAATCACTGAGAACTAAAAATGCCCTTTTCCTGAAACCATGTAAGCTAAAGAGGAACAACTTGATACAAACTTCAGAGAATACACCCCATGCCTACTGCTATGTGGACCACACAGAAAGATGACCAGAGACATTCAAGCTTCAAACCAAGAAAACCTATCAGGTCACCACTGTCTGTCCCCACTCCATCTGAAGATGCTCTGGGCCCTTTATCTAGAAATCTTTTAAACTGGCCATGCTCAGGACTCAGACTGGATTTTTTTACCTGCTCCAAACACCAACCACTCTTTCTTTTGTTTCCATAGAAATGCCTCTTACTCAGTAACCTGATGCAAATTCTTGCAGCATGCAGGCCTAACTTCAGGAACCCACCTGCATCACACCTCCTGAAATGAGACACAACCCATTAACTGAACTGACCTATTCTCAGAACTAAGAGACTGATTGGTTTGATCAGATATAGAGCAATTCACCAACTCAGGACAGGTTCAAACCTACTTAAACCAGATGGCCCAAGACATAAAATATTTCACAATATTACCCAAATCTTTGAATAGACTCCTAGGGCACCAAGATCAAATGACAAAACCCTCCAAGCTTGGGACAATGGCTATGAACTAAATTTCAGGCTATTGCCTGTATAATCACTACAGAAGTGCTACTGTAATTCTATTTAGATGTGTACTTCCTGGGTTACAATGTGCCCTACCCATTTCAACCCATCTGCTACCCAGGCAGTTACTGTCTTCACCTTTGACTCTACCACCTTGGTATGAAGGGTGGATTAAAGTGTGAGCCACGCTAGTTATTTCCTTTTTGTAATGCAAGAGCTTGAGCTTTGACTATTTCAGGCATCTACTTTAAAGAGATATCCACTTCAAAGACATCTCTACTTTAAAGATGGCTATCTCAAATAAACAACTGAAGAGCCTGGGGAGGAAGGACGCTGAGGCACCTTATTTTAGAGATGTTGGTTGATTTCAATATCTAACCATTTGGGCCACTTATTTCTTTTTTTATTCCTTTTTTTCTTCCTGTATTTTAAATTCCCACTCTTATGTTTTAATTTCTCCAGTAAGAGTGCACCCACAAAATTCTCCGCCCTCGGCTTTGGCCACAAGAAAAGTAGGACCAGGCAGGCACCTTTTCTTTCTCCACCCAACACCTGTGTGGCCCCAGGTGTTTCGTGTGTAGCCCCAAACCTGTCAGGTGTGCTGCATGCTTTCTAAAATTTGTAATAAGCCTCTGTCCCAGTCCCCTTATGGTTACTGCTGAGGGTATCTTAACAATCATAATAAAAACCAAAAGGTCAGGTCCAGCCACAGCACTTGTGATGGGAGTCACAGGCTGATGCAGGCACAAAACACCCACTCAGCAAGCAAGCATTCCAGCAGGCTCCTGATTGTATCTGTGGATACAAGCTCCTTCTAACTCTGCTCAACAAACAATCCATTCAAGAGTTTAGCCTTAACATTTTCAAATAAAATTACCTCTACCTGTGATCTGGGTGCAAAAATAAAAATATCCCTCTCACCCAAAGCTCTGTCACCTAAACCTCATAGACCCAAAGGTTACAATCAGAAGGGAATAAAGCAAAGACAAGACAAAGGTTACAGAGAGCACAGGACAGGATCAAGTAAATTGTGTTGGGAACCAAGAATAACTATGCCACTGATGCAAGCTCCCAGGTCTGGAGGCCACCTGCAGCACAAACAGGGAACTAAGGAAATCCGCAGCTACGCCCATTCAATATTGCATAAAGCTGGAATGGCCCTCATATCTTCCTTCACGTAAACCTTTGGAATACCCAAATAACATGAATTCACAGCTACTGTGACAGCCAAGAAAGGAATGAAGGACGCATGTCAATTAAATGTAACTGACACCCTGGATGGGATCATGGAACTGAAAAAGAGTATTTGGTAACAACTAAGAAAATATGAAGGAAATTATGGACTTTCATTACTGTTATCAGTGTTGGTGTGACAAACGTACCATACTAATGTGAGATGCTGATAGCAGGAACTGGATGCAGGGTATATGAAAACTGATTGGTCTTGGCAACTCTTCTGTAAATCCAAAACTATTCTAGAAGAGTTTATTAAAAAACAAAACCAACCAACCCTCAGCTCTTGCTCCAGAGCCTTGAATGAGGGAAAAGGTCTCTAAACACTTAGGATGAGAACTAACTAGTGAATTTGCTTAAGATGCATATTCTCCAACCAGTTCCAGAACTGCAAAGTCAGAATGGGAGTTGAGGGAGGCCAGAATTTGCTTTCTAACTAGCACACCTGGTTCTAACAGCGAGCCACTAAATTGGTTGTTAACCCAGTATTTCCCCCTCACACACAAAAATAGCCACCAATGAGGCACTGACCATCCCAGGGGGCAACCCGCCCCCACCCTGGGCCATGAGCATCTTCAGGCAACACATCAGTAAACAATTCTAGACCATCAATCGATACTCGTGGAGTCTGCCATTAAATAAACACACACACACACACGTCGCAGATGGTTTCAGGCCTCTAAGCTTCGATGATACTCGTGGAGTCTGCCATTAAATAAACACACACACACGTCGCAGATGGTTTCAGGCCTCTAAGCTTCCTAAAGAGCCCTGAAGGCACATGTCAAGCCTCCAAACAAAGACCTAGTCGGTACTGTCTCCTCTGAAGAGTCCAACACCATGGCGCCCTAGCGACCCTGGGCTACTGACTCCACGATCCGCTTTCCGAAAACAGGAGAGGCACAGCCTAAGCATCCCAGTGAGGCATCCTCCTCCGCGGGCAGATGCTCCTCTGGAGCGACCCTCCTGAAATGCCCTCTCCACCGCCTACGGCAGAGCAGGTCCTGCTGCCAGGGAAAGGGGTCAGGCCTCGTCGCTAACTAGACCTGTCTGTTGGTGGACCTCCGAGTCCTCACCTAGTAAATCTAAGTGCTCTAGAGGTTCATCTTAGAGGAGCAAGCACCGGTCCCAGCCCCACTGCAGGCGCCTCCACCCCGCGAGTCAAAAGGCGCCCGCCCCAAGGGGTCCGACCCCGAGTGCCTCGAAACACGGGGCCACACCGCGGGGGCTTGTGGGGCGGGACCGGGTGGGCCAACGGCGTGTCTCACCCCGCCGCCGCTAACCGCGCCGATGCCGTCGAACTCCCGGCCCAGCCCATCGGAGTCGTCGAGCACGTACGTGCTGCCGAACGCCAGCAGAGCGCACTGCAGCAGGGGCACCGCGGCCCGGCCCGTCGAACCCGCGGCAGCCGTCGGCATGGCTTTCCCTTGCCGTTGCCGGGACGCCTGGAGCAGGTTCTCAGCCGGTTTGCGGGTCACATGACTCCGGCCCCCAGGGAGGCGGGTCCTGTCGCCGCCATGATGGAAAAGGGCGCGAGGCTGCTGACGACGGCGACGCCATCTTGAATGCGGGCAACAGGTCTTCGAGGCAGCCTCCGTAGTGTTGTGAGACTAAGAACCTTTTTCTGGTGGCGCCTCTGTCAGGATCGGGCTGGCCTTCACTGCTTCTCACTTTCCTGCTTCTGTGATGGCCTCGCCTGCTGGAGCACTTTAGCGAAGAGGAGGTGGATGCCCAGCGCCTGCCAAGGGAACTAGATCTTCCCCAGCAGCTCACTGCACAGCCACCTCCCGCCAGTCTGCGACAAAGCAAGAAGGCGGACCGACCTCACCTGCGGACCCCCACCAAGTGCCAGCTCAGATGTCACCTTGGTCGAGTCATTTAGCTTTCGGAGACTGAGTTCCCTTTTATGTAAGATGAGGAAAAGTAGCCATGGGGGAATATAATTAAAATACTAGTACAGTAATAGGTACCCTGAATCATGGCTGAACGCGTCTCACACTTGGCAAATGTTAACTGACAAGGTTCTGCGTTCTGGCAGCTAATCTGTGTCTTCAGCTTTTAGCTGCATAAACTGCTTTCCCCTGCCAGGCAGCTAACCCTAAATCGGTAGGAAAGTTGTGAATTATCTTGAGGTTTCGTCCACATCCTGCATTGTTCTGAGATCTCTGACTTTCTTGATGTGGAGCAAATTGAAGAGACTCAGAGGCTGCAGAGAAAGCATTTCTGATCTCGGGACTCTCCCTAGGCAGAGCCACAAAATGGGTTGTCAGTGTCTGCACAAGCCCCTGAGACACCAAAAGGGCAAGGGGAAGACCCAAAGGCTCTGGCACTCATGAGCCTTGATATGCAGGGTCCAATCTGAAGTCAGTTGTTTTGCCAGTTTACCACACACCTAAATTTACTTTTCAGGGCCACAATTACACTAGGAGAAAAATTTTTATCTGGGAAATGCCATAAACACCCTCATGAGGCCCTTCTGATACCTCTAAATTCTTAATGAACAGTGGCTCTGCTCCCTCTTTATGTCTTCTTAAAGTATGATAGATCTATTCTGGTTTACCAAGGACAATCCCAGCTTATGTCTATTGTCCTAACGTAATTATTAATAGTGCCCCTTTCACCCTTAAAGTGTTCTGGCCTGGGCAGTAAGTTATACAGTCCCCTGTATATGGACCACTTATTTTCTACTATTTTTTTCTTTTCCCAGTACAGCACATATCTGAAATTTCTACCTTCCCTACTACCACAGTTCTGTGAGACAAGTCAATAAATACCCAGTTCCATAGACTGACCTTCCCAGAACTTAATGATTCATCCACTCTAACACAATATTTTAAGCATGAGTTGAAGCACCACTGGGTGTAAGCCAAGGTGAAAATCAAGTGAATGCTAAGCTTCCTACTTACCCAAAGATTTTTACATTTGTGATATGCATATTAACATGGCTAGAAGAGAAGTACCAAGGTGAAAATAGAGGAAAATACCATACACGTGAAATTGGGAAGTTGAAACCATAACAGCAGATACCATGTAGTACCATTGCACCTTGTATTTTGAAGGCATGCCAAAAGTATTGGTGCATTGTGTAATATCTGTAGAAGAGGAAACAGAATATTAAGCAGAAGTGTCTTCGCACCCAGGATATATCACTAATTCCTCTTAATTCATATAGCAATGTAGTCCCTTACCAGAGACAGTAACTCACTACAAATTTCTAATCTATGCTCAGGAAACCATTAAACAAGGTTTCTAATAAAAAAGCAATTAAGTGCAAGCTGAGAAAGATCCTTGGATTACTGGGCACAACCCTCAAATTTGGTCAAGATGTGAGATAAAGTGAAATGACAGTTATCAGATAAGTGATCATGTGTTCAACTGCCCTTGTTTCTGTGGTCTCAGAGTCCCTAAAAGAAATGAATCATTAAGAAAGGAAGGTATCTTGGATCTCAAATTCCAGGTGAGTTTAAAAAGTAAGGACAGCTTCTCTCTTAAATAAGCAGTGTTTCTGAGTATCATAACTACTTCAGCCGCAGCAAATTCCTCATTTTTCTAAAATGAAAAATGTGATAAAAATTAGATGGTCTCTTGAGAACGATGAGAGATCTTGCCTTTAAATAAAGTCAGTGATAGAGTCTATAGCAATCTGTAGTCTCACTTTAGGAAATGGCTTTTACTTTTAGAAATCTTGAGTTAGGCTCTCAGGAATTCAAGGGCAGAGGCCAAGTCTTCCTCTTTCTACTCCCTAAGTGCAGCGTCCAAGCCATGGTAGGTACTCAATATGTATTAGCTGAATTGAACTTAAAAAAAAATCACTGAAGATGGTGCCTCAGATCACTGGGGAAAGGAGATGGACTTTTTTAAAATGGTGGTGGGACTACTAGAAAACTATTTGGAAAAAGGTCAAATTTTAGATCTACACCTCACACTACATATAAATTCCAAATGGATAAAGCTCTAGATGTAAAAAGAAAATGAATCCTTCCAAGTTCTAAACATGGGTAAATTCCTGTGCAACTTGGGGTTCTAAATAGGACTCAATATCTCAATACAACGAAATAAAAGTTTTGTTTCTTTTAAAAAATCGCTGAATAATCTCATATAAGGTGATAAGAAAAATGGATTATTTACAAAAGAAGTTGGAAACATTCTTTAAAGTAAGAGTCCCCTGGGACATAAAAGAATATACACTATTTTCTCTTCCTGAACTATCTTGTAGCATCTGTTGTTCATCTGATCTTTTCAACTTGGACATAAGTTGCTTGACTGCAATTATTAATTGTATCACCCTGTTCAGTGACTTCTAAATCATGAGCACCAGTTCTGTTAATTCAGGGCTTTATATAAAGACTATTTTAAGAAGTTCAGCAGACAGTATCCACAATGAAATAAATTATACATTGCTTACTAAACACTGCATTAAGTATAACTACAGATAAAAACTGTTAAAGCAAGGAGCAATATGGTATAGTAGTTAAAATATCATACCTGGAGACCCAGCTTCAACTCTCTCCTTGCTCCTACTTAGCTGTGTGATTTTGGCCAAGTTACTTTACTTCTTTAGACTTCAGTTTACTCATCCATAAATAGAGGTGATGATAGTAATTTATATGAAGTTCACTGACTTAATACTTATATAGCACTTAGAGGAGTAACCAACACATACTACATGCTATAGAAATGTGTATTACATTAATAATAACAGAAATGACATACAAACTTAACTATAGTATAACTTTTGAGTTTATTGCTCTCCACAAAGCTAAGATAATCCCAGTGCTGACAGAAATAAGCACGGCTATTATATTAAGAGTTTATTCAGAGCCTTACTTAGGACCATGGCCCAAAAACAGTTAATTAGAGAAAGAGTTCTGATCAGACTGTTCTGCCAGCCCTTTGTCCAAAAATAGTTTATATGCCTTTTTATAACAAGGGATACATTAATCAACATATTAGAGCAGCGCGTCAAGGGTACATTTGGTTAGTTTGTTAAAAGAACAGACTATGCACATTCCGATGCTATCTTCGTGTGAGGAGACGAGGTTTAGAATTGTTACTAATTCTCCTACAGAATTCTATCAAGGATGTGAGAACCAGGTTCCTGTTCAGTGTGTCTTTGAAAATTCAAGGCAGTTTCTCTTCTCACCCATAGGTGAGGAGCTATTCAGTCTTGCTCACACAGGCAGCAATGGCTGTATGGCTTCGTCACAGAACAGCCGGAGTTGTCCTGGCTGATTCAGGTCCTCCATAGCTTGCATGGCCCTCCTTGCCTGTGGGACCACCATGGAAGAGCATTAAAACATTATTTTACATCATACTGGGGAAAAGGATTATTCCTGTCTGTGTACTGGTCTGAATGTTTTTATCCCATTCTTGTTGTCTGCAATCATCCCACATGGCGGATCACCCATGGTGTGAGCCTTGGAAGGCAGATTCCACCTCCTTCAGGAGCGAAGGTGCCTGATGCTCTTCCCACCCCCAGCAGCACCAGCTCTGGAGGTGACCAGGGCTCCCTCAACCTGCAACTTCGATCTTGGAAGACTATGGTGCTGCTGAGAATATAACAGCGTATTTTGGTTATAAGAAAAAACGCTGGAGTCACGTCAGAGTCCAGAGGAGGCAGCCACAGAAAGGCTCTATCAGAGGGGCCTCAAGTGCCCAGAGCAGTGGGGTCAGAAGTGCCATCCTAGCCTACTGCTCAGGTAGGGTGACCTCTGCTGTCTTCCTGGTCCGTTGGTCCTTTGACTCCAGCCCATTTCACCAGCTGGGTTCTGCAGCCTCAGCAGCAATTTTGTGCCACCTCCTGATTTCTTTCTAAGTCATCCATTTCCTGCTCAAGTTAGTCACAGATGGTGCTATTACCTGCAACAAAGAACCTGACTAATACACCAAATTACAGTCCAGCATGGAGGGGATAATTGCAAAGAATTATCGGCCTCTATATCTGCATTTCCCTGTTGTAAGCACAGCTTTTACCACCTATAGCTCTTTTGCTGATGATTGTTACTGCTCAGATAAAGGAACTCCAGGAAGTTTTGCTATCCTCCTATGTTTCACCTGTGAATGCTCTTTGAATTGTCAGTACCTATTTCTGCATGGCTACCAGCAGAAGAATTCAGAGCCCTCAGTAATAGCACACTATTGAGTATATGGTTGATCCCCAATCAATAAATTTATAATCAAAGTCATCAGGAAAATTTAGAATTGTTTTCAAAAAATGTATATGTTGGTTAAATTGCAGAATTTCCAGAATCTTCTACCTGGCCTTAGTCTATTTACATATCAATAGGTATTTATTGCTGCAGCCTGCCCCAGCCTCTGGGGCAAGGAGTGGAGAAATGGCCATTCTCTTCTTCTGTTCATTCCTGGTACGTAATTGGTCTGGCATCTTTCAGTCACCAACGACCCACAGTGGAGCTCTTCCTGGAAGTGGATGGGAAGTGGAGAGCATACCAAGGCAGCAGAGAGAGAGCAGCGGCCAGAAGAGATGGACAGAGCCAGGCCTACTCAGCAAATTCGAGCAAGCTGTGAGCAATGAAAAGCCTTTCTCCCAACCTGCTCTTTCCCTTGACCCCCTTCAGTTTCCCCGATTTCACATGTGATTTGCCCTCGGCCAGGAACGCCCTTCCCCTCAAGAGCTACAGTGTACTTTGGTGTCCGAGGGGAAATCTGTTGCATAAACCACATAACCACTGTATGTTTTGGGAGCTCACAACTGTGTGTGAATACTCAGGACTGGAAATGGGAAACGATAGTTCTCCATTTCTTTTTATAGACTGTGCATTAAAAGCAACCGTTTGTTCCTCTCTGTAGACAACTGACAGGTGCTATCTTCCACGGTTTACCTCATGCTTCTCTCATGATCTGGAAATATCCTTTCTTCCATAACTAAATGTCTAAAGTATTCTCTTTCTTTAAGATACATCTCAATGCTACCTCCTTCTTAAGTTTTTCTTGATTTATATGCTTAATCTTCCCTCTCTCTAATCTCTCATGTATCTTCTTTACAAGACTCAAAGGTTGGACAAAAGTTAAGTCTCACGTCTGATTCATTATAATTTCTATTACAGTGGTACAGTGTTATCCTGTAGCACAGTGTTTGTTCATAATAAATACCTAATGTCTGTTGAAAAATTTTGTGGAATAAATGACATAATACAAAATAAAGATTCGCTGTAAGAATGTTTAACGCCAAGTTCAAAATAATGTCTTTAACCTGCTGCCAAAATTCCACTGTGTCTGTAACTGCTTGCATGTCCAACCCATAGAATTGAAATTTATTTTTTTTACAGAAAACAGTTTTTTAATCAGCAGAACTAATCATAAGTATTAGAAACTTTTTAAAAAGTGATTAAGAACATACCATAAACCCAGAGAGTTAACAGCATATTTTGGTTATAAAAGAAGGAAAATTTCTTGAATATTGAATAAAGGAATATTTCTTGAATATTGCCTGAATTAACCCTGAGTTCATGATTTCCTCTTGCATGGGACTACGGGCCCCTAGTCTCCATGTCACATTTACAGTGACTCAACACTATATGTAACTGACTTAGTTATCTGTTGCTATGTAACGAGGTATCCAAAATTGAGTAGCTTAAAGCAACAGATCTTTAGAATCTGCCCATTTCTGTGGGTCATGAATTCAGTAGCACCTTCATGGGGTGCTTCTAACTCTGGCTCTCTCTTGGGGTTGCAGTAAGTATGTTAGAAGGAACTGTAATCATCAGAAAGCCTGAAGATTCACTTCCAGAACGTCTCACTCCCATACTGTGGCTCCCTCAGATGCTCACCATGTGGGAGTTTTCTCACAACATGGCAGCTGGCTTCCCTCAGACCAAGTGATCGGAGAGAGGGGAGAAGTCATGGGAGAGGTCTGACCTAGTCTCCAAAATAGCACACAGTCACTTCTGCTTTATTCTCTTCACTAGAAGTGAGTCACTAAGTCTAGCCCACACTCAAGCAGAGGGAAAGAGGCTTTGCCTCGAAAGGAAGAGCATCAAAGAATTTGTGAACGCATTTTAAAGTGACCACACTTACCCATGATACATTAACCTACTCATATGACATAGTATTAAGTACTGTAGTAACCAATACCTGGTGGATTTATTTAAAGAATAGGTATTATAACACACCATAAAAATTTACTCCATTACTATACTTTTGGTAAAGTATTTTAGCATCCTCTAAAAAAGCACTGCGGAGACTAGAGACTCTCAGAATATTTCCTATAAAATTGCAGGTTTTCCTATCACTCTTGGAGTTTCACTATCATCTCTGCTGTGCCCACTGTGTGAATTTTGATGCTACCCACAGGGTTAGCAGAACCTGCCTTCACCAGCCCGAGTGCCACAAAACCCATACCAGTCATGCTGGCTACAGATCCTCCTTCCCATCTGTCCCTGGCCCCACTGCCTCAGCTGACTCAATTTTTTTGCCAGTCATCTGTACTTCTTCTTTGCCCTGTCCCTTGACTTAAATTTTACTGCATGTCTTGGTTGCATCTGTATTCATGAGACACTTTTTTGGATCTTCAATCTTAAATTGTTAACTCTGAACTATCCCTACCATAAGCAAATTCAACAGAGCAGACACTTCCTTAAGGACTTAACTTACTATCCTGACTTCAAAAATCAAGCTGATCAGCAGTTCTGCACACCTACAATGCAAAAGAGGAAACTATTTGGAGTTAATATACTTCTTAACATTTGATTAAGTTATTTCAATACATAGGTGCAAGAAGGGCATTAAAATGTATTTGTGTAACTTAACAGACATCAAGAAATATGTATTCAATCTTCTAAAAAACTGTTTAGAATATTAAAAACTCTAGTCTTAGGTTTGATAACATATTTCCATTTTAACTTTTACAATCTTAAGCATGTTCTCACTTAACCTTCAAGTCAAAAACATTTGCAAGTATGAAATGAGAAGCTGTATTAGTTCATTTTTTTAAAAGGTGGAACCAAATGAACTAACAGTATACTAATGCAGAGTGGAATTTAATTACTGATGAGGAGTCTCTAGGGTTAAAGTGACCAAAGTAGGCAAAAATTTGAATAGAAAGTGCTTCTAAGCTCTTCCCCTTTCCCAGTACCAATGCCATCCGTTATTCTCAAGTTTGGAACATCCAAGCACTTGGAGGGCTTGTTTTAATACACATCACTGGACTCCAGCCCCAGAGCTTCTGACTCACTGAGCCTGGGCTGAGTCCAGAATTATAGTTGTCAATCATTCTCAGATGACATTAATGCTGCTAATCTTAAGGACCACTTGAAGAACCACTCATGTGAATGGATTCTGGCAAGCTTCACCATCCTGTAGCAGCCAGCTAAGGCTTTGCATGGGAATACCCTACCCCTCCCAGGAATATTTGCATCTCTAGAAAGGAAACCTGAAGATAAAGCTTTCAAGAACCAAAAGAAAGATTTTCTAATAGTTGCATTTTATGCTTCTTGCCAAGTATTGAGAAAAATATTTTGCTCAGTAGTCGCATTCAAGAGCTTAACAAATGTTTGTTGAATTACACACCTTGGATCAAATGTGTGATCTTAATGCTGTGGTTTCTCGTCTCAGGTCATAACCACATATGCAAGATATAGAACATTGTTTGTCTTTCTATAACTCAACTAAAACTCTGTTTCCATCCACCATTCTGTCAAGGTCATGGGCAATTCAGAGTCCAATCTCTTCTTCCTCTGGGCTCCACCTGTATTGGTGTGCTAGGGCTGCCATAACAAAATGCCACAGACTGGGGGACTTAGCCAACAGAAATTAATTTTCTCACAGTCCTCGAGGCTGGAAAATCCAAGGTCAATGTGTTAGTAGGTTTAGTTTCTTCTGCAGTTCTCCTTTGATTGCAGGTGGCTGCGTTCTTTCCATGTCCTCACATGGACTTTTCTGGGTGCATGTGCATCCCTGTGTCTGTGTGTGTGTGTCCAACTCTCCTCTTCTGATAAGGACACTGGTCAAATTACATTAGGGCCCATGCTAACAGTTTCATTTTAACTTAACCACCTCTGTAAAGACCACATCTCAAATATAATCATATTCTGAAGTACTAGGGGTTAGGGCTTCTACATATGAATTTTGGCAGACATGTGGGGAGACGCAATTTAGCCCATAACACCATCTAAGATCAGGGCATTTGCATGTTGCCAAAGCTGGAGGTCAGGAGCTCAACCCCTGGTTCTCAGAGATGCCCCTGCATCAATACTGACCTGTCCTGAGATGCCCTCATTCCCTTCTGGTCTCTAGGAGTCAGAAACCTGAGTTGTCCTTCATCAATAGTGTCACTTCTGTGACACCCTGGGCCACTGGCAGCACCTGGAGGTAGGCTGAGACCTTCCATCATTTCTGTGTGCCCCCCAAGACCTTCAAGAAATCATTCTGCTCCACCTGGACTATGCTG